GATGTTTCTAACTCTCTATCCCTCTCTTCCTCTCTGTAAAAAATCAATAAAAAATATATTTTAAAAAAATATCTGTAGGGTTTGTAGTGATGCCCCGTCTTTCGTGGCTGATATGGATCATTGGGGGTTTCTTGAGCAGGCTCATTGGAGATTGACCTCCTTCGCTGACCTTCCAAAGAGCCAGCTTTTCCGTATTGATTCCGCATTTGCTCATAACTGGTTTCGTTTGCCCTCTTCCTGACCCTCTTGCACTGGAAATCCAGATAATCGCTCTGAAATCTTCCCTCCTAACAATGCACCCTGGAGCTCCACATTCCTCGTCAACACTGTTGTAGCTGCTTTTAAAGAATTTTATATGCTGTTTTCCTTATCATGCAGATAAACAGACTTTAATTTGTTTAAAGATTTCTCCTTCCACCCACAGGTTAGCTAGGAGTGCATTTTTAAATTTCCCAATATTCATGCATTTTCCGGGTATCTGCTTGCTATAGATTTTGATTTACTTCTGTCGTGGCCAGAATGTAATTGTGTCTGTGCAGCCCTGCGTGTCCTGAGTGATTTCGAGCGTAAAAATAACACATTAGGGTGAAGCTCTGTGAGAGAAAGGACAGGAAGGTGCAGATTCCAGAGGGAAAGTGTTTCCAAACGTTAAAGAAAAGCAGCCTCGTTTTTAAATGGATGGAGGGGGCACATTTGTCTGTATTTTGACTCCATGCTCGGTCACAGGGAGGACAGCATGGCTGTTAAAGTGTCTCTGACATCGGCTGCCAATGACAGGACCTGCAGCTGGGAAGACGTCCAGTGAGAACTTAGGGATCGGCTGGACACGCTGGTGTCCATCTCCCCCGGTTCCATTTGGGAGATGGGCACAGAGTTTGAATGCAGCTGGGGGTCAAGGCCCGTGCCTGCAGGGGGTGGGGGAGGAGGCGGCGGCTGGGGACCTGGCCAAGGGGACATGAGGGCTGGTGGGAGGCGGGGAGGGAGCCAGTCTTGTTCGGGGAAGGTGAGGGGCAGAACTGGGGTGTCCCAGCCCTGGGGAGCTCGGGGTGCTGCCAGGAAGATGTACAGGCGCTACATTCGCCCATAAACCTTCGTCTATGTGCCCTGTGCCCGGTAACCTGTTCCTCTGTTAACTCTGAACACCTCACGCCCAGGCTTTCTGCTCTGGCCACGCCGACAAGCCCACTGAGCGCTGTGCAGGCATCGTCCTTCCACCTTTCTCCGGGGACTTCACTGGCCTGTGCCCTTCCCAGTCAGGCCGAATGGAAGTGAAGGTGACCAAGCTCGCCAACTTAACGTCCGAAGAGCATTTGGACCCTTCACCTTGCCTGACCCTCGCTGTAGCCTTTAGAGACTCCATCAGAACGAGGAACTTCCCTCCCAGCCCTAACGACTTCCTCTTAAAACTCACACCAAAACTGGATGTTGAATTTCCCCGTACTTTTGTCTGAATTGATCATGATTTTCAGTTAATGCTGTGAAGTTTGCTTTGAAAAACGCTACGCCAAGTTGCATCTCCAAGACGCATCTAGTCAGTGACATCCGCAGGCGGCCTGGACCCATGTTCACATGTGAGATGACCTTAGCGTTTTTCTCCTTCTCAGGTGTCTCACAGAGGTGTGTCTGTTCCCTCTTCACTGGGAGAATGTGTGACGGGCAGGACTTCCTAAATGGGGGTAGAATTTGATGATGAAACTGCGTCCAAGTCTTAAAGATTAAACATGGAAATATAACCACGTTTATATCGCCTTTGAGAGCAAAATTGGGGAAGACAGAGGCGTCATGTCCCTCATCTGATCCGCTCGCACAGACAAAAGCCCAGGACAGGGCCAGCCTCCTCCGCCTTTGCCGGGGGGCGAAACATGGTGTGTGTGTGTGGGGGGGGGCGAGGAGGGAGAGGAGGCTTGGGGGACATGAATGGCGGCTTGACTCCAATTGCTGGGATGTTTGGAGGCAAAGTTGCTCTTTTTAAAATACATTTTCATTGATTTCAGAGAGGGAGAGGGAGAGATGGAAACATGGATGATGAGAATCATGGATCGGCTGCCTCCTGCACACTCCCTACTGGGGGCCTGTGCCCTGACCGGGAATCCAACTGTGACCTGACTCCTAGGTCGACGCTCAGCCCCTGAGCCACGCAGGCAAGGTTGCTCTTTTCTAAACCACCCTTAGCCCTGACCTTCCCTGACCCCCGGGCGCTGCCTGACCAGAGCTGTCCTGTGTCCACTGGAGCGCTCCCAGGGAGAAGGACGGCCTGGTGAGGAAGGCCTGGCCGCGGCCACTGCTTGGATGACGAGAAGGGTTTTTAGTGGGTTTTCCACTCGCTGGCCATGCAGCTGGGACTATCAGAACCTTGGACAGCACCGTGGGGGGTTTCTTCTCCAAAGGACTGGTTTTGTGTTAAATCTTTTTTTTTTTTTTAAATGTACTTTATTGATTTTTTTTTTACAGAGAGGAAGGGAGAAGGATAGAGTCAGAAACACTGATGAGAGAGAAGCATTGATCAGCTACCTCCTGCACATTGATGAGAAACACTGATCAGCTGCCTCCTGCACACCTCCTACTGGGGATGTGACCACAACCAAGGTACATGCCCTTGACTGGAATCAAACCCGGGACCCTTCAGTCCGCAGGCGGACGCTCTATCCACTGAGCCAAACCGGTTTCGACATTAGTGTTAAATCTTAAATGTTAAGGTTCGCTCTCAACTTCCCTGCATTTTAAGTCTCAAACGGATTCCTTCAGGTTCATGTGCAGAACTTCCCGAGGAGAGAACACGCTTTCAAAGGCCTCCTCCTGTGTGTGCAAACTGGCATTTTTGTTCCAGCATCTGTAATTCATTTGTGGATAGACATTAAAAGGTAGTAAAAAAAAATTTAAATGACATTTAAGTCATAGGTGTTGTTATAAGAGCAGTATGTGTATGCCTTCAAGATAACGCTAGAGACTTACAAAATTTAAATTTTGATTTAAAATGTAGTGATTGAGCCTGACTGCGTGGCTCAGTGGCTGAGCGTTGACCTATGAACCAGGAGGTGTCAGTTCTATTCCGGGCCAGGACACACGCTCAGGTTGTGGGCTCAATCCCCAGTGTGGTGTGAAGGAGGCAGCCGATCAATGATTCTCTCTCCCCCTTTACCTTCCTCTCTGAAACCAACACAAATATGTTAAAAAAATTTTTTTTAATTAAAAGAATTTTCTAATTGGTAGCCCAAATGACCACAATCATTTCTCTATCTCCCATTTTACAAGTAGACATCTGAGTAATTTGCAAAGCCATGTTGTTAGACTTATAAGTTATTGAACACAAGATGCATCTCAGTATTAGCATCCCTCAAAAACCCCAACCCAGGAGATGTGTTAATATGGATCTACCCACATGCGTTTATACATATACGAAGAACTCACTAGTATGTTACTAAAATCGTAACAAAGGTGTTTCTGAAACACCAGCGGCCGCTGTGCAGGGACTTGGTGAACGTCACCTGCAAGGATGGGGACGAGATGGTGGGCAGAAGCCTTGCCTGCAGCATTAGCCCTGATGGCCTTGCCGGTTTGCCCTTGGCAGCTCGCTCTATGGAGGCGGCCTGCCCCCCCTTCTCCTCTCTCCTTCTCAATGGCGGACGGAGAAGGAGATGTAACCCTCGGCAGCGTGTGAAGCGAGGTGCTCAGCGCTGTCCCGGGCGGAGGGCGGCAGCTGCTGTGGGAATTAATGCGCCGGAGTATCTGCAGCCACAATGCGGCTGTCAGCGGGTTCCCTGCGAGCCCCCACCTCCCATTCAGAGCACCCCCCCTCCCCCCGGTCTTCCCACGGCTCCCTTTATGGCCCCGTTGTTATTCCCGCTCCATGGCACGTTTGTGCGGTGCCGGGGTGCACACAGCCATGAGGGCGCAGAGTGTCTATTGCAGCCTGTTCAAAGGGAGGGACCCCGCTGGGTCCCTCCGCCCGCTTCCATCCAGAGAACCGTTTAACTCCTTGTGCCCCAGGACAGAACGCCCTCTGGTTTGGAATTCTGCAATGGCTCCTTCCCTGGTGGGATGCCACAGACAGAGAAACGAGTGCTGCGTGCCGATCGGCGATCCCGGAGGCTGACACCTCTCAGAGCGACACAGGACACGGAGCACCGCGGGCAGCCTGACAGCCTTTATTCATGCTCAGGCTGCTACAAAGCGTCAGGGCGGTACAGGGGGTGCGGAGGCGCGGACTTCGGGACAGCGTGGCTGGGCGTCTGCTGGGCCCTGCTGCTCTGATCTGGAAGGGCCTCAGGCTGCAGGCGCTGTAGGGGTCTGACTGAGAGCAGGCTTCGACCTCCCGGCAGAGGTCCCGGGGCGCTGCGGACCGCCGGCCTCACTCACCCAGATCTACTCTACGAAGAAGATACAGAGAAGGTAAAGACAGACGGACGGACAGGTCCGGGTCAAGTCGCCATCGGAGAGCGGGCTCACGGAGGACAGCCGTCCCCGAACGCAGACCGCCCAGAGGCACCACGGGCCAGCGAGCCAGCAGCGCCAGCACATGGGCCAGCGAGCCAGCAGCGGGGAGCTCGGAGCCAGAAGAGTTAACGGCCTTCTCGGCTCCGGCGGAATTCCGAGGGCAGCGCGGTGCCCTGGCGCAGAGGGAGGGAGGGCGCGCTTCAGCATCTCCCGAATTAATTAGCTGGGAACGGTCTTGTCCGCGCTTGGAGGGGCGGAAGGGAGAGAGGCAGCAAGAATGGATCGGCGAGCGCTGCCAGCTGCCCGGCTTGGGAGACCCGCGGGGGAACAAAGGGCAAACGGGACCCCAGCCCGCGTCTCCCCACGCGGCCTCGCAGGAGCCCGAGTGCCCGTGGCAGGGGACGGGCGGCGGACGCTAGGGTTTAAAGCACAGAAACAACAGAACACGCATGTACTCTCACGCTGACACGGAAACACATGAACGCTAGATCTAAGCATGACGAGTTCCTGAATCGGGCCGAGTCTTCAAACACTGCACTTTCCGGACGCCAGGCTCCGGGAGGCCGTCACTGCGGGGAGAGAGAGAACTGCGTGGAAGCACCCGTTTCCGAGTCGGGGCGGGGGGGGGGGGGGGGGAGCAGGAGCAAGAGGAGCAGCAGGAGCCGCCTCTGCACCATCTCCTTCCGGCCAGAACCAGACCAACAGGGCGACGTGCTCTAGAGTCGTGTGTCTCCCCCCCCCCCCCCCCCCCCCGCCCGCCCATGAGCCTGACATTGAACTCGTCAGAAACAACAGCCAAAGGCTGGGAAACTGGCGGCTGCTGGGTGTCAGGCCGCCTTCCCATTCTGGGGTGCAGCCCCCCCCTCCCCCCTCCCCCCTCCCCCCTCCCCCCTCCCAAGCCGGAACCCTGCTGTCCAAGGTGCCGGAGGGGGGGCCTCCCTGCGGCTTACTCACCGGCGGGGGGGTGCCAGTGGCTTTCAGAACCAGCTTGTCACCCCTCTTCTCCACCTCGAACCCCATCTTCTTCAGCAGGGACGTGTCGGCCAGGCCCTGCTCCTCCATCTTGGCGATGAGGTCCTGGTTCTGGCTGTGGTCCTCGGTGAGGTTCCGGATGGCGTACACCACCCACTGCGTCAGGACTGGCTCCGAGTGAAGGAAGCTGCCGCACGTGTGCGAGGGCCCCGCACCCCCTCATGGACGCTTTTCTGGAGGCTGTGCTACAACTATGCATCCCAAGCGGAAACACACACAACAGGGCATGCACACGTGTCCCGTGTGCGATGGCAACATGTGCTGATGAATGGACGCAGAAGCAAAGGCGCAGAGTAGCCACCCTGAAGTTTACGAACACGGGCATGTGCACTCATGCACACTCACACACATGCACGCACACACACAGGGAAAGGACCAGAACGTCACCGGACCAGACAAGGAACCATCTCTCCGAAGGCAAGCCCACTGAGGAGCAAGGTGGTTTCCCAGGAGCCGCGTGGCATCCCCACTCCCACGTCCGGTGCCCCAGGAACCCTCCACGGTGTGCTCTCAGCCGCCTCGCCGCCCCCACCTTCACATGCTGTGCACGCAGCCCCCACAGCCGACAGAGCTGCCCCCTAGACAGAAACTGTGCAATCCGAGGCCTGTGCCTTCGTCCCTGAGCCGTGCACACCTAACCCCCCCACCCCCATGTAAGGGCAGGGGGCCACACCTACCAGGTGCCCGAAGCCCAGCTCTGGCCCAGTCCCCACACGACACGGATCACGGATAAGCAATGTGAGCTGACCACCTGTGTATGTCTGCCTGCCCAGCGCCCAGCTGGACCTCCTCAGCAAGGGGATCCCTTATTCCCCCCGGCCCTGCTCCAGCCCAGTGCTGGCAAGTGTCTGCCAGTGTCCCTGTCAACGGGGAGCGTGTCTCCCACTCCCTGTGGGAGGGGCCGGGGCACCACAGACCCACAGCCCTGACTCAGGCTCCGCAGGGCTGAGATCAGAGGAGAGCGAACCAGGCGGACGCTGAGCTGTGCCCATAAAAGGCCCTGACAACAACCTCAGAGGCCACGCGGACGGGCACAGCGGGGACTTGAATCATGTTCATCTGGGAAGGCACCACCACATTTGTGAAAACACTGCTGGTTGTTTTCTTTCACATTTCACTGGAGGCCGAGGCACCTCGTTCCTGCAAGACGAGGCCTTCCTTCCCCGGCTGCCGCCCCGGCCTTCCCTCCGGCACCCGGATCCGGCTTCGTCCGGAAGGATGTCCGGTCTAATTAGCATATTATACTTTTATTATTATAGATTGCTTTCAGAAAGGAAGGGAGAGGGGAGAGAGAAACATCAATGATGAGAAAGAATCATTGATCAGCTGCCTCCTGCATCGCCCCTCACTGGGGCCTGAGCCCACAACTGGGGCCTGTGCCCAGACTGGGAACTGAACTGCGAGCTCCTGGTTCCTAGGTTGACACTCAGCCACTGAGCCACGCTGGCCGGGCTGTTGTGGTATTTTAATGGCATTTCATTCATGAAGGGTTTGGAGGCTAATTTCTGCTGAGAAGCTGACCGGATCCCCATCTGACTCCAGCAGGAGCGCAGAGGAGGTGAGAGCCGACCCAGCGCCAGGGGCCCGGTGAGCGGACACCCTCAGAGCAGCACCGAACCGCCCGGAGGTGGCGCTTCCTGCTCTGCCACAGCCGGTCTCGGGGGACATGCGGGGCAGGGGAGGGAGCGGAGCTGCTCGGCACCTTGAACACCAGAAAGAACAGACGTGTGTCCGCATTCTTACCCACGTGAAACTAACCCCGCTTCTAACTAACCCCCTTCTGTGAGGAGGGCCCGTGCCCTGGAGCGCTACATGTATGTGATTTGGTATTGGCATGTGCTATTCTTTATTGACAGCAAGCTTCTAAACTTCCTGTCAAATTTGCTCAAGGGGTTAACATCATATTTTTATGCTTAAAAATGTTGAATTTTGTGCCAAAAAAAGAGCATTTGTGGGAAGTCTTAATTCATTATTTTGAAGAAAAAGTTATCGGGAAGCTTATGGTGAGCATGCTCCACTTCAATATACTTGTGAACGCTGGTTTAAACGCTTTAAAAGTGGTGATTTTGATGTGAAAGACAAAGAACGTCCAGGTCAACAGAAAAAGTTTGAAGACCAACAATTGCAAGCATTATTGGATGAAGATGCGTGTCAAACTAAAAAACAACTTGCAGAAAGATTAAACGTTGCTCAAACAATTTCAGATCATTTACAAGCAACGGGAAGGACTTTAAATGGGTGCCACATCAACTGAACGAAAGACAAATGGAAAACCTAAAGTCATTAGTAAAATGTTGCTTCAATGGCACGAAAGAAAGTCTTTTTTGCATCGAATTGTGACTGGCGATGAAAAGTGGATTTATTTTGAGAATCCCACATGCACAAATCATAGGTTGATCCAGGTCAACCATCAACATTGACTGCAAGGCCAAATCTCTTCAGAAAGAAGACACTGCTCTGTGTTTGGTGGGACCAGGAAGGTGTGGTGTATGATGAGCTTCTAAAACCAGGTGAAACCGTTAATACTGATTGCTACCGACAACAAATAATCAATTTGAACCACACTTTGATCGTAAAACCACCAGAATGGGCCAGAAGACACAGCAAAGTAATTTTGCTTCATGATGATGCCATCACACCCCTCAAAACCATTTGAAGATGCGTTGAAAGATCTTGCCTGGGAAGTATGAACCCACCGCCGTATTCACCCCACCTCGCTCCTTCAGATGACCACGTGTTCCACTCGGTGGCACACGCACTGTCTGAGCAGCACCTCAAAACGTACGAAGAAGTGGAAAATGGGGGCTCTGAATGGTTTGTCTCAAAAGTTCTATTGGGATGGTACCCACAAATTACCTGAAAGATGGGGAAATGTGTAGCTAGCTATGGACATTACTTTGAATAAAGCACTTTTGATGTATCTCTTGAAATTACTGTGTTTTCTTTGATTACAAAATCCCCCATTATTTACTGGTACACCTAGTATATATATAAAAAGCCAACGACCTGAACACCATAAAAGACAGGTCGCCATGACACCACTGCGGCCAGCAAACCAGCCTGATCTGGAGGTGGGGCTGGCCGGCAACACCCCCACCCTCCCCTTCCCCAAACGCGATCAGCCCACCCCACCCGGATAGGCCCACAGCCCCCCCCAACCTCCTGCAGCCGCTCCCCCTGGCCAGCCCCGCCCCTGATGCTCCCCACCACCCCAATTAGCCCACAGCCCCTCCCCTCAGCCAGCTCCACTACTGACCGGCCACCACCCCACACAATTGGGGGTGAGGCTGGCTGGCCAACCTCCCACAGACCCTCCTCACAGCTTGCCTGCCCCCAACCAGCCCCCTCACCCCAAGTGGGGACAGGGCCCGCAAGCCAATCACCTGTGACCCTCCCAGCTGGCCCGGCGGCCAACCTCCCCGTCTCCTCCCCACGACCTAGTTTATCTGCAATGTAACACCTCACGACAGGGAGGTGAAGCTGATGCCCATGTGTCCTCTGATTGTCCCCACGTCAGGAGGACATTACAGAAGTACAGTCTAGGCTCTCCAACTTAATCGTAAAGTAAAAACCAAGCCTTAGTTGTTCCTTTGATAAAACCAGCCGGCAAGAGACACGGTGCAATAGAGCCCTTATGTGCTGCCCCTCTCCCCGCCCCCGCCCCCGCCCCCGCCCCAGCCCGGCTCATGGAAACGAGGCCTCCGGTGTCTGTGGGACCCAGACCCTCGAGTGTGACGGAGAGCAAAGAGGTCCCTCCCAGTTAATAGTCGCACTGCCCTCTTGTTCCCTCTCCAGAGGCAGCAGAAAGGAGGGGGGGAATTAAACAGCTTCTAAAGCTCTAATCCACCGTACTTCAAGCGCTTTCTTGTGTGCCTCGCTCCAGGAACAGCGCTTTGAACGTTGCCATAGCAACTGCAAACAGAGGCAGGGGCCTGTGTCACAGCCTCCGGGAAGCACCTGCAGCCAGGCTGGAGGAAGACACCATGAGGCCCTTGGGTGTCTCCAAACAGCACAGAGGACAGGGAGGCAGCCCGGGGATGGCTGAGCCTGGGGGGGGGGGGGGGGGGTGAGAGGGGATGGCTGAGCCTGGGGGGAGAGCCCAGGGATGCTGAGCCTGGAAGGGTGAGAGGGGATGGCTGAGCCTGGGGCGGGGGGGGGGGGGGATGGTGAGAGGGGATGGCTGAGCCTGGGGGGAGAGCCCGGGGATGCTGAGCCTGGGGGGGTGAGTCCCAAGGATGGGTGAGCCGGTGGAGGTGTGTGCAGGAGGCAGATGATCAATGATTCTCTCTCGTCATTGATGTCTGTCTGTCTCTCCCCACCCCTCTGAATCCATAAAAACATATTTTTTAAAAAGTGCTCACTGAAAAATATGTTATTTAAATTAAAGACATTTAAATATTAAAAGATTTTACTCACTTCCCAGGATATGTATGTATGTATGTATGTGTATATATACTTTGTCTACAGATGTATAAGGCATCTGTATTTAGTGCTTTATATAACATCTATGTTTAATTTCTGCTTTCAAGATGGGTTTTTTAGAATTGTTTTAGACACCACGCCCACGGCTGGCGAGGGCCTGCGTACTGCCCACCTTCCCCAGTGCCCTGGCCCACCGCAGACCTTCTACGAAAGGCCGGAGCCAGGCTGCTCGGTGCCAGGCAGCCTGGCCCCCGGTCTCACAGAGCCATGGGGTGACGAGCGGAGGGAGCTCATAGTCCATCTCTAAACGAGCGTGCTCCCGGACCGAGCAGGCCTGCAGAACTTTCCAGAACATGAAGAAGAGGACACACACACACACACACACACACACACACACACAGATAAACTGCCTGCAAATGCTCAAACCCCTGTGCTCCCAGCTACGCCCATTTCTGTCAGCCAGAGAGAAGCTGGTCTTGGCCTCAGGATGAGGCTCTGGCAGACAGGACACACTCTGCCCTCCTTCTCCCCCACCCCAACCCACCCACCCTACCCTCCATCTGCAGGAGCCCTACCTGCCCTGCAGCGCAGCTGGGGACACGGGCTCTGAGGGAGGGAGCACCGGTGCCCCGGCTCTGCCCCCGGGGAGGACCATCACCCACAGAGCAGGAGGACGGGAGGGAAG